TCCATAGGTTCATCTAAAGCCATAGAGCTTGCTAATTCTGGTGATAAATTATAAGAAGATAAAAGAGTTTTAAATTCATTAAGAATATTTCTAAGCTCATCTTGAAAAATTTTTTTACAAATCTCAATAACTTTTTGCTCTATCTTTTTATAATTATTGTGAGCCGGCTCAGCTAGTAATGGTTTTTTAACTACTTTTTTTTTACAAGATTCATAGCTACAGTGGAATTATTGCAAAGTGTCTCTTTAGGTCTATCTTCAACTTCTACATACTCGACATTTTCATTATCCTTATCCTCATAAACTATCTCTTCATAAACTTCCTCTTCCACATTATTAGGATCTTCTGTTGCTTCTTTATAGGTAACCAAGTTTACTCGTTTATTTTTGGATCTAACAACCTTTTTAATAACTTTCTTTCTAACAGGTGGTTTCTTTTTTCTAACAGTTCAGGATGCATTAACTATATTTGTAGTAGGAATAGTAGTATTTTCTCCAATCCTTCTTGCAATATTAACAATAGCAAGATCAATTTCCATTGGATTGTAAGGTCTTTCATCTTCTATATCAAGAACCAATCTGACATAATCCATTATTTCTTGTAAGGCTTTGGCTTTTTCAGACTTTGAACGAATTATTTTCCCTCCAGGTGGTAATTTGCTTAATGGGGTAGGAGTTATTCCAATTCCCATCTGTCTTGCTTGGTCATCCACAAAATTATTCATATGAAATTTCTCAAGTCGATACTCATGACCAGGGGGTAAAGGTGGAGATACGTTTTTTTGTAACTGGGATTGAATTACTGGTTGAGAAGGGGTTTGAAAGTTTTGCTATAACTAGAGTTGAATTACTAGTTGAGAAGGGTTTTGAAAGTTTTGCTAAAACTGGGGTTGTATTATTGGTTGAAATGATGCAAGTTGAGAAATTCCATTGGTATAAATAGAGCCTCCCCCATATGTAAATGTATCAGGTTTTCGTTCTAACCACATATTTTTTAGACTTGTAA